TTTGTGTTAAATGGAATGTTTACAAACATGAACTAAAGAGGTTTTTCGATGATGTTAACTTGCTGCTTTCATCTGAAAGTTTCAGACGAGCCTCCGGATACTAATGGCAGCACAGCAGCGTCATTAACTATTTCCTGTTTGCCTAGTCCAACCCCAGAGATGACTGTTCCTAATACGATGACCACCGACTCAGCCTACTCCAGCCCTCTAAATGGCGTCACTATATCAACGGCTGCTTGCTCCTCAGTTGGCATAGATGACACTGACTTTTCTGCTACACCTACAAGGTCGGCTGAAGAAGTTGCTGCCTCCACTGCACCCTCATCTTCCACTACAGTCTATCGACATTCTCCAGGCGACGAAGATGACGGCTGTATACTGTCGTCAGACGCCACATCGACAGCTCTGGCTGTCATGGAAGGGGACTCAGTTCACTCTCTTGGCCGGCCGGCTGCTACAGTCACAGTTGTCAACAGGGAGGTTTGTAATACTGCAGCAGCCAAAGCATCTGAAGAGTCTGCAGGAACCTACAGCAGCAAGGGCGTAAATCGTTTTAGTCATGTAATCTCAGGTCGAGGGAAGTCGCAGAAACGAATCGTTGCCTACTCAACAGCGATGGAATCCATACAAGCTAGTTCTGAACCAGTTGAATTGGAAATTGAAGAGCAGGAACAGATTCCGTAAGCCAACTTTTTATTTTTTGTCCTCCATATATTTCTTTATTTGTTCATGAATGTCTGCCTATCCAGTAATAATTACTCTTGGGCCATTTCTAATTAGAGCCCAAATGAAGTCAAGTTAAGTAACCAAATATTTGCAGCCAAGGTAATCGGTAAGGAAACTAAATGTCATGCCTTCTTGGTCTTATATCTACAGTCTGAGTGTTTAGATGCGAGCGGTTTGCATTATTTGTATTCTGTTTCTCTTGTCCGCATCAACATTTTAGCTAAGCTATTTAGACAAACAAAATTCTCCTTCTTAGACCTGAGTCTTTAATTTCAGCCATCATTTCGTTTTGATCCTTATCATAATATCCTCGATATGGATTAATATGCTTATACCCATCATTCGAGTATATTTTCTAATTCCTTCAGCACAGTCAAGGTCACCGCCAGAAATCGGCTAGACCTGTTGGTATGTCTATCTTGTTTTATCATTG